AGGGAAGTGGTTGAGTCCCCATCCCTGGAGGTATTTAAAAGACGTGTAGATGTGGTGCTTAGGGACATGGTTTAGTGCTGGACTTGGCAGTACTAGGTTAACAGTTGCACTTGATCATCCTGAAGGTCCTTTCCAACCTAAATGATTCTATGATTCTAAGCTGGGACTGTCTGGATGATAGCCGAACAAGTTCCTGTCCCCAGTGTGGATACAGAATTCCCACCAGCAAAACTACTGCCACAGACGTAAACACAGTTTGGAGATAATCTTTTGCGTTAAAAAGGATATTCACCAAATTACCAATAAAAGGGCTGAATCCACTAATCACTGACATTTTTGCTATGTCAGCAAAACTCTCTGGAAGAGAGAACTGAGAACTGTCTGGAAAGAGGTAGTAATGTTTCCACTGCATCTTAGTATAAATTTAATAACTAGGAGAAGGACATCGATCATGAAGGATTAATGTTTGTTCACAAGCAGTTTGTTTAAAGGAATGCCTCTCAAATGGAAACAGTACACCTTGCTTAATTACCAGTTCATTATTTATATTTAAAGGCTCAAATAAAAATGGCTTGATCTACAAAGGCAATCAGTCACTACACTTAGCTGGGCATTTTTCTTTTTTCACCACTAAATTACCATGTATTGAAACAAATATTTCATAGAAAGGTATCAGGTTATAGGAACATTAACAGACCCATAAAGAAATGCATGATCAAAAGGAAGACACGTGAGTGCACACTTACACACACACTGAGGAAGATCCTCATCTGCCTAGTCTTGTCCGGCAGACAAAAATATTACATTGTCCAAACCAGAATAGCTGCATGAAATTGAAGACTTAGAAAGGGGCGCCAGGTTCATGGTCTGCGCATCTTCTCAGATGCTAGGAAGCCGTGCTCCAGCTCCTGTTCCTAGTTATCCTCTCTTGCTGGGCATGTTCTGCTCTGCATAAATACCTACAGAAACGGCAAACTGAGGAGAGTGAGACCTCATGTGTGGGAAGCTGCTCTTGTTCCTTGATCGGGCCGCAAGCTGGGACAGGCAGGTCCTAGTTGCTGTCCTGGGTCAGGCACATCAGGGGCTTAAAGTTGATCGCTCTCCTGTAGCTCAAGAAAGTGCCCTGAACGTTGAGCAAACTGCTTGTGAGGTCTCCCTTTCTGACCAGATGGTCTGTCTGGGGTCTAGGAGCATCTTCCACCCAAAGTTTCAGAAATTAAAGGTTTCTGCAAGAAATGATGATTTCGCTATACCCACATTTTTCCAAAGGAAAAATAGTTTTTGAGAAAATCTGTGGTACTGGATTTAGATGTGAATTTTGACCAGCCAGGGTCTGTTAATAGTAGCTATGAGCGTGGCTGCATGGAGCAACTGCCAGAAGCACTGCCTATAGCTTCATGAGGCCTTCTCCTCTCCCTCTCAAAATGCTAACAGCCCCCCAAAACCAGAGACACTTTTTCATTTTCATGGGCTATCACGAATGCTTAAGTACTGAGACATACAGAAGAATAACTTCCTGCATCATATGTATAACACACCGACATTTCTCCTTGAATACGTCACTTTACTCTCTCCATGAAGTAATGTATCATCATCATAGCCAACATTTCACCAAACAGAATACAAATCAATTCACACTCTAGGTCTTGAAGCTGAGTGGGGTATTTGATTGCATCCCTAAAAATGCAGGGATGGTTAGATTTTAAATTTATTAAGTCCTGTGGCAGAGTAACAACTGAGTAAGTATCTCGTTGTTGGCTAAGTATCCTAATTTCCAGTTAATGAAAAAAAACCCTGTATGTTAAAGAGAGACATTTGAAAAAGACATATAAAGCAGACTTTTCACTCTTCCTTTGAACAGCATCTATTCCATTAATAACCCAAGTGAAATAAATGGGGGATTATTCTAGAGGAAGCTCCTATCAAACATGAAAAAGTCCTCCACTGCCTTAAAAATGCAGTGTGCACACTTCTTTGTAATCATTGAAAAGCTTTCCTTAAAAAAATCACCCATAAAATAAAAAACCAGCGTGCCATATGATTATTTCCTATCGAAAAGTAGGGGCTTATTAACCAAATGACAATGTAAGAACTAAAAAGGAAATGAAGAATGAGCGCTTAACCTCATTAAAATCTCAGGAATGACTCAGTGTTATGAACATACGAAATAAGCGATGACAACTTCTGAAGAATACCACTACTAGCAAGAGGGCAGCAGCTGTTTTGCAGCTTCCCGGAACAGTCTGCAGTTCTCGCATTTTGTCACTGACCGGGAACGGCCGTCTGACCCCAGCTATGCAACAGCCGCACAAAAGTACCACCAAATCCAGAGAAACGGTTGTTCATTGTTGACATTGTGATGTTTAGTTGAATCGAAACCAATGGGTTACAAAAACAGATTTTCAGTAACAATTCTGCAATGGCTTATTTTCACCTCCAGGCTTCTGGATCCATGTCCCACATCCATATCCCTTTCAGCAAAAGTAACTGTTTCCTCATCACTTCAAACATTCCCATTGATGTCTGTCTTCTCTCTCAACAAAACGTCTGGCTGCTCTGGTGTCCTCTGATACCCCACCGCAGCCACTGCGTGATACACCCTGAAGGGAGGCTACCCCAGCTGCTTCAGACCTGCTGCTTCCTCCTCTCAGCCCTAGGGCCATCCTATAGCTACAGGGAGAAAGCATCACACCAACAACGGTAAAACACTGCTGCACCTTTTCTGCAAGGCGAACGCGTACACTTAAATTAGGTCAGTGAACAACAGGATATGAAACACGTGCAGCGTCATGTTTAAGATGGGTAACAGGTAGGTGACATTCCCTTGCAGTGAAGCACACGTCACATCCATGGAAGGAGCAGGGCTGACATTGTTAGGGCTGAAGTCGCCCAATACAAGAGTACTGGCCCAAGAAATAAAGCAACATGAGTTAGCCAGCTTCCTTTGCGAGAACTGAGACCGAAGCCACTCACCACTGCATCCATGGGAAAAATTCTAGCGGAATTCAGTTGGCCCTGGATCACACCCAGGTAAAAAATTAATCTTTGCTTCTTCATTTAGAAAATAGATGAGCATTAGCAGCTTCATCCTATCAGTAGCATCTCCAGTGAGGTGCAAAGGAACCTTAACGAAAGGCTGTTGTAGAGGGCAATTATTTCCATCACACATTTTATAACCTCATATATAGCACTTTTGCTATCTTTCTTCTTTTGGAAATACAGTTCTTGTACACATCCTTAAAACAAATCAGCAGCTATTAAGACAACAAAGCAGACTAATACAAGTGTACGTAGAACAGCTTTTATAAAAATGCCCAGAATGCATTTTCAATCTCGTTAGAAACACACTGTTGGTCAAAAAGAAAGAAAGAAAAAAAAAAAAGCTATAAACCAGTGATCTCAAACATGCTAAAAGGATGCAGAGACACTGGCAGTTGCAAGCAAGTGATCAAACACTGGTGATAGGAAACAGTTATAGCTCAAAAAACAGGGTTGGGTTTTTTTGTAATTTCCAAAATAATTACATTTTACTTTTTTTTACTGTTCTCTCATATGATTTGAACTTATAAAATACAAGTTCTCTAACATTAAAATACATCCGTGATTGCATAATAAACAGTGCTAAGAAAATAATTATCTGACATGATTGCGGATAAAGACTCTGTACGTCTAGTGAGTTTTATTCCTGTAGCACATTAAACCCACAGGTACTCCACCATGATACAATCCTACCGGAATCAGTAACATCCAGAAGCCCATCTCAGAGGATGAGTTTTAAATTTAAGCAAGAATTCAGGAATGCTGTACCTCTTAACGATTGGGGCAGGAGGTGCTGCCAGAACGCGTATAAATCAGGAATTCTTTACATAAATAAAATACTCTCAGGTTATTCATTTCAGTGATAAACTGCATTTACACATTAGGCTGGGAAAAGGGAGGAAAGAAGGCGAAGCAATCCCCCGCTCAGAAATAACCGGCAGTCAGATATTTGTTTTCTGTACCTTCTTCACCTGCAAAGGCAAACGTGCGCAGCGGGGTGAAAGGAGACCTGACAAGCTGGTCCTCCCCACCGCCACCGCCTCGGTGGAAGCTCTGCCCAGCCACGCCACGCTCCTCTCCTTGCAAGGCTGTCGGGACGCGTGCTCCGCTCTTGCCACTGCACGGTGGTGTGGGAGGTCACAAGACGGTGACGGGACGTAGCTGCTCCAGCTGCGTTTCCAAGGCAATTCGTTCCTTGTGAACCTCCTGCAGGAGGGAGAGAGACGCGCTGTGACTTTTGGGATGCTTGCTTGCACCACCCCGCTCCGGTGAAGAGCAGCCAGGGACGCGTGCTCCGCTCTTGCCACTGCACGGTGGTGTGGGAGGTCACAAGACGGTGACGGGACGTAGCTGCTCCAGCTGCGTTTCCAAGGCAATTCGTTCCTTGTGAACCTCCTGCAGGAGGGAGAGAGACGCGCTGTGACTTTTGGGATGCTTGCTTGCACCACCCCGCTCCGGTGAAGAGCAGCCAGGCAAACCGCTGGCATTGACTGGAGGCTAGGGGCTCTGCTGTTTAAGTAGCTCTCCTTGCGGTCTCAAAACACTGTACCAATGCAACACAACCACCTCGCACAGCCGTCTACTGCCTCCTCCTTACAGCAGGGCAATGCGGAGGCTCAATCACTTGCTCGGGTGATCATGGAGAGGAGCAGTCATCCACTGGCCAGTGGAATAGCTTGGGATGCAGCAACGCTGGCCACAGGTTGGCAATTTTACCAAAGAAAATGAGGTTATTTTGAAATCACATTTCCCTCAGAACTGCTTTTTGAGAATTTTTGGTTCACACAGTCAACCTCTTTCCTTTTGGAAACAAATGAGGCTTAGCCTTTCTAAGACAACAAAGGCTTTGCAATCTACCTCTTTGGCAGATGCATCAGGAAGATCATCAGTCTCAGTCAGAAACTAACTGTGACGGCTTTGGGGATCAGCGATTTTGGGAAAGCCTCTCCTGGTCTCGAGGCTGCCCCTGCGCTGAGGGGCACCTGGCTCTCGCTGACCTCCCGTCAAAGGGCTCCCCGGCCTGTGTGGGAGCCAGACTGACTTGTGACTCCTCCAGGTTTCGGTACCCCATTTGGGCACGCTCACAGCCCCAGCCTGGGAGTGCACGTGAACGCTCCCCGTGTCTCAGTGCAAGCTGTGCCTGAGGGGCACCCGTCAAGTCTTTTGGTCCTCATAAAAACATAAAAGGCCCTGCTCCATCAGAAAGCTTCCAGGCAGCAATATGACTTAAAGGACAAGTTCAGTTTTCTGCTCCTGTGTGAACTCAGGCAAATCTGTCCATCTTTACGTGCTTCCTTCACCCTACCATAAGATACAGGTAACAGCACTGGCCTGTTTCATGAAGGTTGGGGAGTTTAAGCGTGCTGAAGATAGTGCATGGAAGCAGATAAGACCTGAGCCAAGGAATGACGGCAATGTGCTGTCATTAAAAGCTTTCATCTCCGTGCTTATTTCAATTGCCGTCCTATATTTTGCTATGATTTCAGTACAGAGCATCCACCCTGCATCAGCCTGGGGAGATCCTTGAAAGCCAGTTAAGAAATTACATTAAAACCAAGCTGAACACGGAATCAAACTTACACTTTTTCTTCAGTCAAGGTGAAACTGGGGGTTCACCTGCCTTTCCATGCAAGTGTGTTCATAATATGCAAGGAAGAAAAAGGTGTAGCAGATGAAAAACTGAAGTCTGTACTACCTTTGAACTGAGAAAACAGAACCACCACAACTGGTATTTATAAGAAAACAGCCCCTTGAGAACATGTTAAAAGACAAGTCAGCAGACGTTAAAAATCAGTTGTTAGACGTTCATGTAAAGCATTGTTTAGCCAGTCCATGTATACCAAATGCCTGACTCCAGGAGACAGTTATGTAGCACAACTGATCAGAGGACAAGAAAGCTACACTTGAGTTGCTCTTCTGCACTAGTTGACGCCATCACATTATCAAACTGTTCAGAAAGACGAAGTTCACCCTTTAGACTTACTCTAACTGCCAGTGGAGCTGTAGGCCCATAGGTTAGAACTTTTCCCAGAAAGCCTCATCCTATCCACACATACAGTATAGTTATTCCCTCCCAGAAAGCAGGAAATAACGCAGTAGGTTTCATCTGAGAGGACGAACAAGATTCTCTGCTGGAGGTGACACGTAACTGATTGCAGGGAGCTTTGTCACCGATTTTCAATGCATTCCTTACCTTCAGCTGCTGCTGGAGCTCACTGTTCAACCTGGCGAGCACAGCATTGGCTTCTTTGTTTTTTCGTATAGCGGTCTGAATAGCCCTTTTCTGCTTGGAAGACTGTCTGCCAGACAGATAAATACAAAACATTTCAATTAAGAGCCTCAGCAGTGGCTGATGCCAGAAGACCAGCCATCCATTTTGCGCGTCTGTACTCCATATACAATGGACTACACTTCAAAGACAAGGTATGAACTACACATTTAAGAGAAGAAAAATGTAACACTGAAATGAGATGGCTGAATCAGGTAGACTATTTGAAAGTAAAACGGTCACACTTGTTAATCTGAATGACAGGAACATTTTAGGCTGTCTCAATTATTTCAAAATCACTGCGTTCTGATTCCACTTAAGAATAATCCCTGCATAGCTGTACTTATTGCAGCATCTTTGCTTTTGCTGTTTTCAGAGACTTGCAGAGTTTGAAGATTCAGGAGTCGTTAACAGAAAATACAAAAATCATTCTACGCGGAAAGAAAGGACATCTGCATGAAAATACGGTCTCAGATTTTTTGGGACACTGCTGATTCTGATGTTTCTTTACTTCAAAAATTAATCTTTCTTTCATTCAAAGCAGTCATTTCCATCAAAACCGTCTGATGTCACAAAAAGGAACAGGTAGATGGTTTATGGACTTTCCTCATCTCTTTTGCTGCTTAAAGAAAAGATTTCTCTCCTATTATTATTATTACTCTATAGCCCAGGGTAACTGATTTGGAGGAAATTACAGTTAGGCAGACAGGTACAAAAAGAGACAGCTCTGTACATAAGGACCAACCTATTCCAAGAAACACAAGTAACAACAGGAAAAAGAAAAGAAAATACAGAAAATACTGGCTGAATATCCAAGCCATTTTCCAAATAGATTATTTGAAAGTTTTACGTGAGGCATCAAGAGCTCTTTAATGACAAATTTGATCTAAAACAGATGCCCTATTTAAATAAGGTCCATAGTGGTACACAGTCCCCATTAGCTCTTTTCTCTTAACGGAGCTGATGGCACTGATCTTTGCAACAGGATCTCTTTCGCAGCACAGGCAGGTCTTTATGCCGCTATCTTCCAGTGAACTGTCAGTTTTCTGCTTCACGATTTTGCTTCAAACTGTTCTCCACAGGCTATAAAGTAATAATGGTAGGAAAAAATAAAAAACAGGGAGATATACCTCTGTGGTCATTTAAACATTTTAGGAAAGATATAGACAAGACAGGATTAAGGCAAGACGCTAACAAATGCTGTTATCTTCCTTTGAACCACTGTGGAATATGCACCCCCAAAGCACAAAATAGCACTTTAAGGGCATCCTAGGAGTCTTATTACTTATTCTAATCTCCAATTATGCAGCACAGATTCAGTTTACTGATAAACAGTTTGCCAAGAACTGCTCAACTGATTTGGGCAGCTCAAGTTTTGTTTCAGACCAAACCAGATGTCTTTGTAAGGCTTCGGGTAAAGGTGGGCTATAACGTTTGCACACTGTTTCAGCTGATGGAGATGTATAGACCCTATAAGGCTTCAAGTGCCTTCGCTTACCATTTGTACAGCCCTTTCTCCACTGCTATTAAATAAATATATGGTGAAAACCCTACAAGTCTTTGTTGCTGACAGTTTCAACAGCTATATTTATGAGACCAAACAACACATGCTGGGTTTGGCAATTATGGGATTATCACAAGTGGTCTATGGCTCAGCTCATACCAGTGGCGAGTTCATTTCCAACCTGCCTTGCGATGAAGAAATATCACGAGGATATGACCAACATCAAGCATTTCATGATTCAATTTCCTGGGCATTTATCTGGTCGTATCTGTCCACACAAATGAGCAAAATTCCAGAAGATATACGCAAGGCAAAACCACACACCCACAGAGCTAAAAGGAGTTGTGTTAGAGATGCTGGTTGAAGAGCTAGGCTTGCTCTTCAGACATGTCTACCAGATACAGAGGTAGAACACCTTTGAAGAGGCTATCATTCAAATATTACCAACTTATACAGTCACTAGAGACTTAGTCTGCATTTGAGAAGACAGATGTAGATTTCAGAGACTTGTATCTTGTGAAGCATTCTCAAAACCAGAACGATTAAGCACAAAATTATGCAAAGAGCAAACCCTGCCACATCAGATCTCATGGTGCAGTTTGGCATGCTTGGTACAGGTTTTTACTTTTGGACTGGGAGGTGAGGCTTGACAGCCGGCAGGGAAGAAGTCACATTTATAGTGGGAGAAAGCTCGGGGGTCTCCAGCCCCTGCGCCTCCGTCCGGAGTTTCCTGCGGGCAGGTTTGGAGGGCGGCTGAGCGAGAACAACCTCCTGCAAGGGAGAAGCACAGCAACGTTAAGTCAGGCCATATGCGTCCTGTCATTAGGCTGGGGAATACTTGTGACACAGAAATTGCTGACAGCTGGCCTAAGATTTCATAATTTAAAGAGGTACAGAGCTTAATTCAAATTTGGTAATAGCCTCTCAGGTTTCTGCCTTTGAAAAAAGGAACAATAACTCCTGCAACCCCTTAATGAATGAAATGATTATACTGGTGTTTTGTCTTCATCTGGATGACAGGCTCTTCAGAACTGGATTGTATAGCTCTGTGTGCATTTGGGCGGGGGGTGGAGGGAGGGGTATAAATACATATACTAGCCACCAGTTGACCCTAAAGCATTAAAACCAAACCAAGATTTATTTTTAATTATGCTCAGTTGGTAAGAATCAATAATCAATCACTTGCATCCCAACTTACTACCTCACCCATCTGGCATGGAGCCTCTCCCTTCTCCCCTCCTCTCTTACATGAAGCAACACTGAAAATAGCTTAGAAAGACAAATGTATAAAAACATCCATGCAAAATTAACATGTTGGAAGTGTAGAAGGCCAGTTATTTCTCTTGATGAGCTACATCAAAGAAACAGTCTGGTTAAAACAGAGTCTTGGATTTTTATGACTTCAGTGGTAAGAAGTGTTTTCATTAATTTAAATTAAGACATTTTTTCTTTTGCAATGAGAAGTAGTTTTAATGCCTTATAGCCATTTTAAATCTGAAATATAAATATATCCTTTTCAGTGTATTTTATTATTAGATCTCTTTTACAAGGGATATAACTATTACTGCCCCATTTCATGAGTGAGAAAGCTAAGACTCAAAAAGATGAAGTGACTTGACAAAGGTTATACATTTAGTGTCACAGTCAAGACCAAAGACCAAATTTTATTATCACTTGCACAGTGCACATTTTACTGGGCCAGACTATCTTCCTTACTACATTTTGGCCAAATGTTAATAAAATAAGAAAAAAATTAAATGGAGGACGCATTTAATGACCTAGCAATCATAAGAAAAAACCCAAGACTGTAGCAAGCAGCCTGACTCAGCAGAAGAGTCTACTATGAGTGATACAGAATGAAACCAACATAAGACCATCAATAATTAATCTTAGGGGATTACAATTATTAGAGGAATTAGAATTATAAGGAAACAAGGGGTTTCAACATTAAAAAAGTGGCCATGACTGAAAAAAAAAAAAATCTAAAAATATTATGAGATCTTTTGATCAGGACGTCAGCACATCAGCACTGCACAGATCTCAGATAATACTGTGCTCTGAAATCCTACGCCTATGTGCAGCTCCCTGCAAACACACGCCGTACAGCAAGTGAGGAACTTGCGTGTGTCTTCTACAACTATAAAACTAGTGGGATGCCAAATGCACAATCCCAGTCTACCTTGAACTGCGAAAAACCTACCAAATCCATAAGATAAATCCCTCTTCCATTTCAAACGCAATACCGGAAGAAATGATCCAATACCTTAAAGCAGAGCCCTCTGCAGGGGCTTTTTGCTTGCCTGGTGCAACAGCAGCCAGCCACCCACCAGGAAGGTGGGTCAGCGCCGCACCAACAACCTGCTTCCCACACCCCACAGCCTGGGCTTCTCTCTATTTTAGGGAGCCAGGTGGGACGAGGGCGAGCATGAAGTAGGTGGACCACAAGGATTTCATTTCCCTAGGAGGGCTGCAAAGCAGAGCAAGGAAGAAGCAGGGCTAGGCTAGTAGCAGCATGCGGTGAGCACAAGCGGAGCGAGGACGCTGCCCCGAAAGCCTTACTGCATATAGGAAATGACACCGGACATTTGTCTGTGCCCCCATTAAGGTAAGAAGTGTGGTGATGCTCCCTGGGCAAGGTACGCACTAGGTACAGCACCTGCCAGCAGTTCTCGGTTGGGCTGAGCAAAGGTCTTGTAGGTGCTCCCTGGCTGCAGGAGGGGCCGGAGCAGGAAGGATCTGCATTTGCCCCCTATCAAAAACCTCTTCTGGCTGGGGCTGGTGGAAGGAGGCAGTGGGAGCGTGACCAGGAGTGGAGAAAGGCTCACAGCCATTGCTAAGGCCACTCCATCCCTAAGCAAGGCCCTGTGAGGACTGCCATTGCAATTTCGGTGCTTACTTTATACAAATGATATGTTCATACAAAAACACATTAGAAACTGGATATCTTGAGCAAATCTCTCCCAGTCTATGTACATTTAGTAGCAGATTCTGACCTCTAGCAAACAGGTGTGGTTACATCAAAACCGAATCCTCAATAACTGGAAGCAAGAAGTGCATCACAATTTGGAAGAATTATAGAGAGACAGGGGTCAAGTACAATCAAACTCTTTTTCGTCTTCCCTAAGGCTCCACAAGCCCCTACTGATTTGAAACAAATGGCAAGCTGCCTCTCTTAAAGCACGTGCATCGTTGTGTATGTACTAAGAGCTTTTTTAATGATTTATCTGAGCTGATGTCACACGTGATCCCGGTTCTCTCTAGCGTCTTGACCTGCAGAGAAGGTAAACATGTAAAAACGTAATCCTAACCCTCCATTTAATTGCTTTAAAACTTAAACCAACCACATTTGTTGATGAAGGCAAATCACTCCACAATGGTACAACAAGTGCAGGTCTCACCTTTTTTGCTGAACTGTTTTCTTCTGCCTGCGATGGGGGTCTATTCATCTGAGGATGTAATTCAACCTCAGATACTTGCTCTGTCTGCAACAACAAATCAGTCATTGCTATACCCAGAAAACGACTAGCAGTCACATACAATAAAGTCAATGAAAGGAAATGTTATACAGAAAAGAAAAGTTACTTTAACAATTCAACAGTAGGGGAAAAAGAGATCCAGGGTGACAGCTGAATGGATGACACATGTCTTTTGCAGATTCTTAATGAAACCGTTTTCTTGCATTTTATTGTGCTAGGAAAACAAGAGAAAAGTTCTTCTGTGAAGCGTTAGGAACCATGTCTCTGAATGTAAATGACCTAGTACCCAGACTTTCTTCTAGAGTTTCCCTTACGGCCTAAATACTCAGAGCAAGACTAAGGGGGGTGGATAAAAGCTAGAAAGATCTTGGTTGCGCCCTGTCACCTTATCATCTCCTGACGCTGACGAAAATTCATTGGAGTAAGCCTCTGTCTTTGAAGTTTGCAAGGCTGGAGCGAGAAAGTCTGAATTATACCAAAAATTCCAGTAAAGTTACTGAAAACACAAACCATAAAAGAAGCCAAATAAATCTTCTTCCCTCCTCCCTTCTCACGTTTCCAACAGAAACTGAGCTGAACACTCATCACACAGGTCTACACTTCGGCAAAACAACACACCCTCCCCCCAGCATATCTGACCGAGCAGCAAGTTAAAACAGAGGGTTAATCCCTTGCTTCGCCTCTCCTGAAATCTTCCAGCATCTTTCCATTCACCAGGACAGGGCACAGCACATCAGCGAAGGGAGGGCGGCAGGATTTGAAGCTGCCTGTCCCTGTGCACGCTGCAGCAAACATGGTATAAACACGGTGCGGCTGTTTTCTGTCCAGAAGGTATGGGCTGTCTCTCCAAGACGGGGAAGGCAGGCAGGAGCGGGGAGGCTGAGGGCACTTGGCTCTGGCAGCAGCCTCTTCTCTTTCCCAACTTCTGCCAAGTCAGAGCCAGGCTGACAACGGCCCCTAGGCAGGAGAGGCAACCCGCCATCCGGCTCCGTCCTCAAAAAAGGCTTGTTTCTACACAGGTGAAAGCTTGCATTTAAAACCAAGTTCAAGGCAAACCTCAAACTTTAAAGGGGCCAGGATTTTAGCCATAAAAATTAATAGTAATAACCTGTCACACACTGAAGAACCTAATTCGCTGCTGCCAAGAGGTTTCTGCACAGGCCCATCAAGATCTGTAGCAGTCACAAGTTTCCCAGTGCTTAACTGTAAGTTAAATAAAAATGTCATAAAGCACAGAATTTGGTATATTTAAAAAGGAGGGACTTTTTCGTACCACTTCCATTTCTTTCATAATAAGAGCTGTACAGAAAGCTGTAGGGCAAATGCGCTTCTGTCAGGTTACTGCTGTTCTCCAACCGTACGGTGTCGAACATGTGCACAGTGGAGGGGGATTTATCATCTTTTTTTAAAATGCATGTGAAATTCCTCTGGAGAGGAGGAAAAGGTATCTTGGCTGACAAGATTTCTCTCCCTGCTTCTTCTAAGTGTGCTACACCTGTAGTGTTATCTGATGGTTAAAAAACAAAACCAAAACAAACCCACCCTGTAGTTTTCCAGTATTATCTGAATATTAATATCTTAAATATTTGGATTTTAATAACTATCTGATACTAGCATTTCAATTCTGGAAAGCTTTTCATGGACTGAAGAGCTGTTTCTGTAACAGATTTCTGGTACAAATAGGGAGCGAAATGGAAAAAGCAATCTTCTTTTCTGTCTGCAAAAATCGAAGACCTTTAAAAGTGCATTTAATGCAACAGAGCATTCTTTATCAGCAAGCTGAATAGCCCCTAACCTCCCTGATTTCTACAACCACTTTTTATGTATTTGAAAGAAATGAAGGCTCTAAGCACTCGTAACAGTACCCTGGCAAAGTCCATGAGGCCTTCATGAATGATTTGGGGATAGCGAAGTTCAAATACCCAGCAGAGCCACACGATAAATTTGGGACTGAATCACATCGCTTTGACAAATCATTCATTCAGGGACAGCAAGAGTAAACACAGTCTTTCAGAGAGCCACGTAATACGTATAGTATAAACTATAGCTTTGCTGCACAACACCGAGCAATGACAGAGGTAGACGAGAGCCAGCTCTTAATGGCCTTTCTTGGACAGGGAGCACTAGATACCCCCCTAACCAGGCCAGGCAGGCAGTTTCTGGTGCTCACATTTTTGTGGGAGTCTACATTAAACCTTGTATCAAAAGCAAGAATACAGTAACTTATTCCACAGAATGAAAAAGAACGGAGACCAACCCCATGTTATTTATGTGTAGATGAAACGCAGCTTTTCAAGAACCAATGTGTTCAAACAGTGTAGAAGTAACTAAATAGACTGGTACTATACAATGTCAATTGCAAAGAAGCAGGAAAATTGAAAACACGGTAAGATAAAGGACCTGGAGGGAGGGTGGGAAGTAAGAAAAAAAAAAAAAGGGGGGGGGGGGTGTTTCTTTTTTTTAATGGTCTCATTGCAGGAGAATACTATTTTAAACCGAAGGGAACTGAAAAGGCAGAAAAGGGTAAACTTTGTGTTCTTGTGGAAGCGAATATAAATTGGAGTGCTGATGCCAGAAAGTGTAAGATTTCAAAATTTCCAACAGTTGGGTATCACAGCTCCTACTGATGCAAGATACATTTTTTACTAGCCGAGTGCTGTGATGTGGCTGTCAGCCTAACAGCTGTGGCAACCGCTGTGCTGCAGGGCTGTGGTACCTACCCGCTGGCTGAGGTTGGGCCATTGGGCTGGCCGCTCCTCCCCACTGCCAGGATGTGAGGACGGCAAAGCTCCGCAGCCAGCAGGGCAAGGACTGGCTGGAGCAGGCAGGTGGTAAAAATAAATAGTTACATTTGGCGAAAGACAGACAGAAAGAAAACCTAGTTCTGGTGATGCAGCTCATGCATAATGAATAAAACCAAGTGACTGCCATGTCCCTGAAGTGCCACCTAGTGGCATGTGGGACAGGCCATTTCTGAGTTTTGCTTAGAGGAGAGTACCAAAAAAGAGCTGTCTGCATTATTCAGAGCCTGCAGACTGAGCCTGCCCCCCAGGGCGGGCAGAGAGCCGGCGCTGGGCACCGTTAGCCTCGGCTCTTTGGAGCGTCTCCTTTCCCTCTCATGCAGAAGCCAGGTGGACACATTAACGATCTGCCAGCAGAGCTACAAGTTCTCCTCTACGAAAGACCTCCATTCCTCAGAGCGACGTGCCTCTGACACAAGTGCCCAAGTGTGAAAAAATCAGCATGCTGTTGCAGGGGATTTTGTTCAGGGACTGACAGCAGGCAAAAATCTTTTGTTTAACTGCAACGTGCATCGATGCAAAGAACGCTTGCTGATTCAGCTAACCCAACAAAGTCCTCTACGCAAGGCCCGAGAGGCTTTACAAATACGTTTGCAAGCTGATGTCTCCCCACACTGGCCCCACATGGATTTTAAAGGAAAAATAACGCCTGCTTTTTCCTTTCGCAGAGGGATTCTTCACAGATTTCCTTCCCTTCGTTGATTTGGACGTGGGGTAAAAGCTAGCTCCTGTAGCCTGGTCATGGGCAGAGTGAGACTGGCTCCAGGATACTCCAGTACAAGCTCCTATAGTGGAGTGTAAGGAAAAGGTGATCCATCAGGAGCAGCTGAGGCAGGTTCCCTTTAGTTCCTCATTGTTTTTATACCATGCTTAGCACAGTCTTTGAGCAACTCGCTTCTCATTCAGAAACACAGCAATAAACTGCCTCCCTCCATCACAGCCATAAATGTCTTAAAGTTTTCCCACATCTCGGAAACTTCTCACCATTATATTAGCGTTTAAAATTCTTCACCACTGGTTTATAAAATTGAGAGATTATACATTATGCAGTACAGTCTTCCAAAGGAAAATTCTGTTACAGTAGCATAGAAGTGCTTAAAAGTGCGCCTCATTCATGTCCACAGAATGGAGCAAGCTACTGACACGGGAAGTGCTGCTGTGCTGCTATGGCTGGGTCCACATCCAGGGTTGTAATAGTTGGGCAAAGAAAATCCTGCTCGTGTGTGCTACCGGCACTGCAAAAGAGAGCTTGCAGACCAGGCCTAAGAGTATCTTGATTTTGGGAAGAAGAGTAAGTGACCACAGAAGAGAGCAAGATGGTGTCCTATTCCAAATCTCCTGAAGAGCTTCTCTTTGCAAAGCCCAAAGTCCAGTTATTAACAGGCTGTCTCTCCTCTTTCCCCAGAGCAGTCTCGTATTTTCTAGGAATAGCCATACCCTCCTCATTCTTCCAGGTAGCAGATAAAACCTGCCAACAAAGTTTCTGTACAACGGCCACGGTCAGAGACCAACCTGTGGCCTACGATCAATATTGAGCATTAGGACAGATAATTCCTCATCGTTAAGGAGAGCATTAGGAATTGCAAATGCTCATTATTTCATCGCATGATCCTTGACCAGCCATTCATAATCTCCTCACTGCTCCATGTGATGATCCTTAACAGTACCTTTCTAAGAGAATAAGTAACGCTTGCTTAAGCACAAAGTGCTTCGAAAGCCTCAGGTGAAAGATTTTCATAACTATAAGAGAACGCATTACCTTAACAACTGGTTCTTCGCTTACATTTCCAGTTCTTTAGCTTTGCAATGCTGGATTATATGTAGATTTCACACCCACTTTTCAAGACAATCCGTAACTGATCTTCCAGAACAGAAGGTCTATGTGGAGCTTTCATACTTCTGTTACCCGAGAGCCTTTTTGCAAGAGGCAATCTTTCCCACAATTCAGTCTCGCCCACACTTAGGCTCCAGGCTAACTTTACACATGGAAATAGTCCCATTGTAGTCAATGGCACTACTCACAGAAATGAAATTATCTCTGTGCATTCATTGGAATAGCCCATAATCATTACCTATACAGTGCCACTGCTTAGCTTTGCAAAAAAGTATTGAGAACAGCTTCTCTGTAAGAAAAAGTAGGATACTGAATATGCTTAATGCTCAGTATGTGTCCATTGCAATCTTCTATCATCTCTACGTAAGTTC